CTCATCGTGCGAGAATTCTGTGGTGAGCTGTCGGTTCATCATGTCCTCCAGTTGTAGCCATATCGTCAGCTCACTGAAACATTTCAGTTATTTCGAAATACATTAAACAAAGACTCACTATTGAAAACCACTGCAACCCAACTTCCTTTCTTTCTGTCGTCACACGCATTTGCCGAATCGCCCTTGTTTCGCAGTGCTGAACTGTCTCATCGGTAGCTTGGAGGTGATGCCACTACAGGATCTGTCGTTTCAGGAGCTCGTGGTAAGGATGTTGTTGTGAGCGAAGATGTCGACGGCTCATGACCTTCGGTGGCTGTCTGAGCCTGAGACGTACGTGAAGAGGGCTGAGTGACCTGCAAAAATCGAGGAATAGAAAAAGAACACTCGTCGTATTTCTATGATTTTGATTGCGCCCTCCCATTCCATGCACAACACAATCGCGTCAGGGAGGTGAAGCCTATCCTAACCGCCCGAATTTGAGCCAAATTTCTTGCGTAACTTATATATATTAATTATCCTACTTACTATAAAGCGCTTCGTCTGTCGTCTGTCGTCTGTCGTTCTGTATGTCTGTCACGAAATTCCCTAGCTCCTCGGGATCCGCCTGGAGGGACCGGGTCAAGTGTGGATGGGTGGGCAGGTCTCACGAAATACAAAACACACATCAGCTAAGCGGAGCCCCGCCCACAGAGGGCGTGGCGTGCGTCGAAATGAATTGTACCGAAGACCATCCTACTTACTATAAAGCGCTTCGTCTGTCGTGTGTCGTGTGTCGTTCTGTATGTCTGTCACGAAATTCCCTAGCTCCTCGGGATCCACCTGGAGGGACCGGGTGGGACCGGGTCAAGTGTGGGATGGGTGGGCAGGGTCTCACGTAATACAAAACACACATCAGCTAAGCGGAGCCCCGCCCACAGAGGGCGTGGCGTGCGTCGAAATGAATTGTACCGAAGACCAAGATTTCGATTTCAGTGACAAAACGACCTCGAAACTGGGCCAAAAAGTGGGTAAAGGTGTGCATTGGTAAGTCACATCGAATTAGGGAGACCCACCCCCGGTGGGCGGGGCGTTCTCCAAAAAAGCAGTGCTTTATGAAAAATTTCATAACTCGGTTGGGAGAAAGCCTACAGAGCAGAAAACAATTTGGTGTAAGGGAGCAATGTCTAAGGTGTTTCCTGCATACATGACGTGGGCGGAGGCCCGCCCAGAATGGGCGGGGCGCGCTCTGAAGTGTACAGCATTTTCTACAAGCCCTCATAATTCGGGTCGGGGAAGTCTTAAAGAGCCGGAAAAAGGTGGATAGAGGTGTATGGAGGAGTGGAGGCCAGCTGTCAATGGTGGGCGGGGCTTGACCAAAGTGGGCGGAGTTTGCGACGAAAATTCATAACTCGGCTCCAATGAAGTCCCGGAGGCCGGGAAAAAGGTGGACGGAGGTGGGTGGAGGAGTGGAGGCCAGCTGTCAATGGTGGGCGGGGCTTGACCAAAGTGGGCGGAGTTTGCGACGAAAATTCATAACTCGGCTCCAAGAAGTCCCGGAGGCCGGGAAAAGGTGGATAGAGGTGGGTGGAGGAGTGGAGGTTAACTGTCATCGGTGGGGGGGGCTTGGCCAAAGTGGGCGGAGTCTGCGACGAAAATATAAAACTCGGCTCCAACAAGTCCCGGAGGCCGGGAGAAAGGGAGTAGAGGCCGGCAAAGGAAAGGAGGTCAACTGCTATTAGTGGGCGGAGCACGCACATAAGTGGGCGGAGTTTGCCAAAAGTGTCGTAATTTGGTTCCAAGAGGTCCCAGAGACCGGTGAAAAAAGGGGTAGAGGTCGGCGAAAGGAAGGGGGCCAAATGCTATTGGTGGGCGGGGCACGCACCGAAGTAGGCGGAGTTTGCCACGAGATTTATTGTCCGGAAGCAGTCCGGACCGAGAAAAAGAGGATAATGGTTGACGAAGAAAAAAGGTTGAAAGCCGTCGATGATGGAGCGGATTAGAATTTAGCTGAGGATTCAGATATTCGTAGTGTATCAAGCCAAATATGAAAATTTTTCGTCGCACCATCAAAATTCGCAGCAGATCTGTGTTGCGCGCGCAATGCGTGCGGCGCCAACTGGTTTATAATAAGAGAGCTAAAGAAATAGTTCAACCAGTAATAAAGAGAGCAATCGTAACTGCTAAGATCTCTAGGAACCTCATCGTGTAATCTCCCTGAGAGCGGAACCCCTTTCTCAATCGTTGATCCTCCTCATAGTTGGGATAGGGTAAAAAAAAGTCTGTCAACGAGAAATCAGCAGTCTCCGTCCATTCTATCAGTGTGCCTTAGCAGGGAGGTCGCTCAGGTCATGGAGCACTTCTTAAAACGCTTGGCTGCATGTTATAGGGGTTCGCGTGTGGAATGCAGAAATAAGGTCATTTTTCCTGAACGGTTTCTCAAATAAACGTTTATTCCTTTGGACGTGCAATATTTATGGCATTATGTAATTTGTTGCAAGAATTGCGCTTAGCAATTGGAGGGTTCGAGATTTTCAACTCTAAAACCACATGAAACTTGGCCAACAACAAAACAATGTCAAAGTTACGAAAGAGATTGCGAAACATTCATGACTTTCATGGGCAGAGCATGGCGTGATTTGTGGTTTGGTCCTTCATGATATCCAACTTTTGCATTTGGCATTGGCTTAACATGTAGCTGAGCAATCTCGCTCTCAAATAAGGTCCCATCCGTGATCAAAATCGCCAATAATCCCAACGAGCAAGCATCGACTACAGGTCGATAAACTCTGGGAAGAAATGACGTCGAAAATGAATGTCATGTTCATGCTCTGCTCAAGGCAGTGGATAACTCTCGCAGCGTAACTATCGCAAAAATAAGCGTTTATCTGCTTTTCGAAAAATTGGAGCAGTCAGCAGCGCATCAGGTGGCGGGACGACTTGAAGCGAAGCTCCCATGTCCTTTTCCAGAAAAAAAAAAGGAGTTCGGGGGAGTGTGGGGGGTGGGGGAGTATCGATCTAGGCTGTCCTGATTTTGTATGGGAACATCGGTCGGTAGCCCAATCTAATCATAACGCAGAGGACTGGTGCTCTAGATGCGCTCAGATTGACAATCTACGCAGCTCTACCTCGATGGGAGATACTGCCATTTCGATAAGAACGTTATGAGTGCCCCCCCCGAACTAATTTCACCAGAAAACAATGAGAAGCCCTTCCATCAATTGAATAATAGCAGACAGCATATAAGCCCGACCGAGATGGTACATGCAATGACAAAGTGGCAGGTTCTCCACGAATTCTAGCGATGCAAGGTTGTGCCCTAGTCCTTTCCACTGAATGGACTTCTTTCAATAGCCTACCTGGGGCCAGGGACAACGACTTGGCGTTAGAAGTGGTGAACGAAAATGAGTTTCGGTCACCGTGTGATTATCTGTCCGAGTTACCATAGGTACCATTGGCATCCACAACGACCTCTCTCCGAATCGTCTGTCGGCATATGCGACAGGCTGCTAAACCACCTCCCATGACCTTTTTTCAAAAAAAAAGTAGGTCAAAATTTTGACTGATTTACCACCACACTTCGGCAGTAGAATTCTGTTCACGAATACGATATCCATTCTACGCGCCAGCGCCACTTGGCGCCGTTTGGTGCCAGTTTGGGGAGGGGAAGCGGGGTAAATTTATGTCACAAATTTTCTGCTTGTTTGCGGTAATATTCTAGTAGCGTGATTTACGAATAGTCTTGATCATAAATATGACTCATGACAGTGACTCAATTTGGTCCCAATTTTGAAGCGTAAATCAAAATGCAAAAATTTGTCACCGCGGAGAACGTAAGCTGGACAGTTTTTTTGTCACGATTTTCCGTGCCACTCAGTGGGCCGTCCAGGAAAACAGTGACCAGCTCTGTGTTACGGACACGCACCATTATATCATGCAACAAACTATTCTGAAAAAGCGCTCCACGTCCTGAATGACTTTCTTGTTAAAGGACGAATTCACGATGAAAAAGCAACCCATTTCAAATTAACCTAGGGATGGTGAGTGGTACACGAAAGAAGGAAGAACCATGAGAAACGGCCCAGAACCCGAGAAATGGTACCCCTTCCTTGCCCGTTGATTCGAGCATTGATGCGACTCTCATCGCTGTGCCCTCTTCAACACTACGCTCTCTCAGCTATCTAATCACTCGCCACGTATTGAACTACGGCGAGTGATCAGATGATCGGTGGGCGGAGATCGCCGGACCCGCCAGCTTTGAGGCATGATAGGTCGCCGAGGTCAAATTTTTCCATGCGAATTGCGCGTCAGTTCGCACCCTCAGGAGGTCCGTGGGTCCCTCAACTAGGTCAGTTTCCCTTTCTTCGACCTTCATTCTAATCGTGAATTCCTCCTTTAAAGGATTTCTGGGGATTTTTCTTGCTGTCGCCATTGCTATCGACTCATACTACCCTTTCGGTCCATATCGTCCAGCAAAGCAAAATTTTGACGACTGCCTGCTCATTCTCATTTCTCATTGCTCATTTTGAATCGCCTTTCCGTTTTGTTTCCTATTGTACTAACTATCAGAATACCTACTTTAATAACTTCTAGAAGCGGTCTCTCATTTTTTGCTGCTCTTCAAATTGTTGTCATTTTAGCACTTTGAGAAAACTTACTGAATTATTGCGATTAGTTCTTACCCTAAATGCTGAGATTG